AATAATAATAATAATAATAATAATAATAATAATAATAATAATAATAATAATAATAAAACCCGGAACATTAGCCCATCGTCGACATTTACAAATTCAAATCCTAAAACCCACAAAAAAAAAAAAGGATACTTCAAAGCAATGGCATAAGATGCGGTGTAACTTTCATGGATGAAGAGACAATTAGTGCGAAGTACCACTCTTTTTCACCATAAAAAGCCATACACATTTTTTTCACAATGAAGCATGTTCAGAAATCAATTAAACTCCATTCAAATCTAGGATTGTTTCTCATAATTGTTTTAATTGAGGACAAAGTTTTCAATTTGAGGTGTGAGCTTCACTAGTTGCCTGCTCCTCAGCTGCAAATGCGGACCATCATGACCACTAATTGTTGTCATCGATGATTTATGAAGGGCTACCTAATAAGGATTGGGCAATGGTGGTGATATTTTGAGGTCATTTGAGTTGATAGTGGCCGGCAGTTTTGGGGTTTTTGTTGCAATTATCCCTAATTATTATTTAGTGATGGTTTTAGAAAAAGTTCGAGTTTTCAAATCAAATGAACCCTCGAAATCATGTCGGTCGGGTCAACCACCCGAGGTGACTCAAAAAATAAAAAATGAAAGAAAAAGAAAAACTTTTTGCATTTGACAAAATCAGTGGAGTGGTTCTCCTACTCTCAATTATTTTATGAATCTGAATAATTGAATGTGTTGACCTAATCAATTTTCCACGATCCTCCGAAGCAGCACTAGCAATATTTCAATCAACATATTGATGACTCCAGATTCCAATCAACTACGTGAATTTGATATTATCAAAATAGATGAAATAGACACTCATTAGTGAGCTCGGTCAAAATTTGGGACGACCAATCAAACTTTGATATTTAAAGAAAATCTGCAGTCGACCACAATTTATCATTGTTGAAGAGAAAATCAATATTTAAAAATGTTGATTATATGATCGTCTCATTTCCTAGTTTTGCGTTTTCATTGTCGTTTAGGAAATGTTTCATGAGAAATTCATGGTACGATTTTAAATATTGATAAGGCTTCCGTCACATTCTTGAAATCCTGGCAAATCATGTATCACTAGAGTGGTTAGTACCTTAAAAGTAAAGTTAGACACCTCTTGAATCTTGTTCTTGAATTAATCTTACAAGGATATGAATTTAATAAATTTTCTTCTTGTGATTTAATATTTTGATTTGGAACAATGATTTAGTGAATTATGTGTTATTTAAGTAATAACTTTGTTGGTCAC